CGAGAAAAACTTATGTCAATTTAAATGGACGTCCACTAAGTTTCTTAGTCATTGATGATCATAAACGACATGTAAAAAACGATCAGATTGATTATCGTTAGTGACTGTAGCACATTCTCCAAATCAATCGAAGTGTACGTATACCACAATAGCACCCTCAAAAGTGAAACGCACTTTTATTTTCCCCCCTTCCAAATGTTTATTTTTAGTTTGGCAAAATAAGGATAGAAGATAATCATATTTTATAATCAAATGTCGCATGTAGTACGTCTTGAATTCGAAACTTCAGGAATCAAATCCACAATTTCACTATTCACGCAATTTTCATGCATGCATCTGCGCATTATCAAAGTCCACAAACCTGTTGAACTTCATCATTATTTATCGGGACCTCATTCACATTTTCTCATAATTATCTCTAATTTTCAACGCTTATTCAGTACTCTTCTAACAATTAATTAATCTTCAAAAAGTGTGCTGCAGCAACCAATACCAGCTGCACTGACATTGAACCTTGATTTTAAGTTCAATGGATCAATTGACTTTCCTAAAATAGTCAAAAACGTGAAGCGTTTGTCACACGTGCAAATATCTATGTCGGCGCCGATTAAATTAACAAAGATTCTGTGTGAAACTGCCGACCTCTTAAAATGTTCAGCGGAGTCCTAAACACGTGTGGAGTTTGGTCCTCATCATCGTTACGAAATGGTCAAATATTCAATTACGTAACGTGACCAAATTGATGGACTTTCAATATATTTTCGCAGACCGACAGAGCTTTTTGATAATTTTTTGGTGGGCCAGGGAGGAGTTGGGCCTCGTCGGCTGGTGGTTGAATGAACTGATTGCCCAACACTAGGGACCTAGAGTTAGGAGAGATTCTGACATTTTTGTTGGGGAGATGAAGATTGAAAAATACAAGAAAAGAGATTGAAAGAAAAAGGTCAAATAGACGGACTTCTGTAAAAAGAAGAATGTGACATGTGTCTCACTATCAAATTAAATCAGCTTAAACAATATTTAAAATCAGTATTGTTATATCTTAAGAATTACCGAGCATAATGAACTTTTGAGAAAAGGCCCACGTATCATAATTAACTAGTAAGGCCCTATAATCTGAAAACCCGACCCAAATGAGAGCATGATGTAGAATGCATTGCGGATATATATACATGGAGAAACGGGACAATCAAAAGCCCAAATGCGGGCCCGGAAGAGGAAAAATAATTTGTAACAAAGAACGAGTCATATCTTTCAAATTGTACATTAGAATTGGACGAATTATATATGTATATCGCGTATCTTTTCGACACGGAGTCAACCAAACCTATCATTGCTCGGTTTGCCGCCATCTATTTCGTAAAATTCCCTCTGGATTGAAAGATATCAGAGTTTTAGTTAGTTTTTTACTATTTTACGTAATGCTTTAGTAGTCTGTTTTGATTAGGAAACAAATCCGGTTAGATTCTAAATTTGAAAATAACCATTTATTTAGAGGCTTTCGAAAATAACCATTTATTTAGAGCGAAAAAGTCAAATCCAAGATATCTGCTCTTTAAGCTGCTAACGAGCAACCCACCACAAATCCAATCTATTTTGGATTTTTTGCCTTCAACCCACATACATAAGAGAGGAGACTTGTGAGTTCATCTGTAGCTTTTGAGTCTGAAGAAGGGTGGATTGAATCCTAATCGGCTATACTAGCCAGTCAAGATATCGATCCGCCTGCTTAAAAGCGATTGTTTGTGGTGATTGATGAAGCAGAGAAAGGAATTGCTTGTGAATGCGCACTCACTAGAAAAAGATTCTACGACAGGGGCTCCATTTCTTCAAGTAAGGGGAACCAACTCAGTAGGGGAAGAAAGAAAAGGTTGGCTGGAAGCACGGGAGGATGGGCTAGGGCTACTAAATCGAGGGAAGAATAAAAGGCCCGGCCTTGAGGCCATGCGAATATGGAAGGAGATCTCGCCGTGGAAAAGGGAAAATTGGTTGTCTTGACACCAAAAGTGTGGTAGGGGAGTAGGTACTGCCTCTGGTTGAAGGGACCCTAAATTCCTCTAAACATCCACTCGCTCATATAACTAACTTCTTGTCCTAAACAAGTATAAACAATTAAAAAAATTAAAATGAAATAAAAAAGATCAACAAGAAGAATACCAAAGCTAATGCTATCGTCAATTTTAAATTTGGTGCTGAAACATATGTATATACTTTTGCTTTTAATTTCTATAGGTTATTTTCTACAGAGAGCCCTTAATTTTCTCGGAAGGACTTTAATTTGACTTTGTCAGAACCTACAACCTACTATTGCCTAAATCACAGGTTTACTGCGTATCGTAGAAGGCCCATTTATGGAGGCCCATTTAGGCTCAACGCTCTACATTCTACAAATTTTCTTAATCTATCACTGTTTTGAACGTAGGAGGGCACGCCAGAGAGATCACCTCCTGTCTCTAACGAGTGTTACTTGTGCAGGAATCTATTTTCTCTTAATTAATCATTTATCAAGGAAGATCTCCAAACTAGAAAGCTAGCGGCATTCGAGTTAGATGATGCAGGAGGGTGAGAGCCGATGGTGATGATCGATTATATCATGCTTCTGCGGGCTTTTCCTATTTTGGTGTCCAATGAAGATAATGCGCTCCTGCACAAAGGAAGATTTCTCTTTCTTAACATAGAGATGGCTCCCTTGCAGCCTGTGTAGCACCAGCCTTAGATTCTGCCTCAATTCAATCCTGGCGAATTATACGAAGGCCTTGCGAGGGATCACTTTGATAATGCATTTTCGACCAGCCATTACACTGCACTCTTGTTGGGGAATTTCAGTCTCCCCGCCTACCACGATATGAGTAACTCGGAAGCCAACCCAATCAATAAGATAGAACAACCACAATCAAGAAAAAAAGAACATCGAGATTTATGTGGTTCGGTCGACCAACTTCGACCTACGTCCACGGAGCAACAATACGAGAAATTCACTATGTATCAGGGAGAACTACAAGAGGAACCACTCAACTCTCGTCTCTCAATCTCTCAACCTCACATACATAATCAACTCTCATATTCTATCCAAAGCCCACTCCTTGTAATCTTTTGCACGGATAAAGACTACGAAACCCTCTCTCTCTCTCTCATCTACTACATCTCTACTTTTTCTTCATGGTTTTTCCTCCACCAATAGAAGAATATATATAGGGAAACATATACCCTATCTCTAGCCTAACTTCCTAATTAGAATAGGATTCAAACTCCTAATCATGATAAAACCCAAACTCCTAATCATGATAGAACTCAAACTCCTAACTAATTCTCATGAAGTTACACAAAGAATCAAAGACAAAATCCCAACAATCTCCACCTTGGATTTGATTCCCAAACTCCCTTGAAGATATATCATCGTCGTCTTGAAACTTTGTCTCTCCCGCTAGAGTCTTCTATTTCTTTCGCACTTCAAATCAGAACACATGTACTCCCAATTAGATGCCTTCATGATCCTCACTATTTTCTGCTTCGTCGTGACGCCTCCACCTCTCTTGTTGTCCTTGTGCTCCACCTGCATCGCTCATCTCAAATCATATCGGTGCACCTCTCCTACTCTACACTACGAACTGGATGCCTTTATCTCCTCCATCACTTGGCTTGGACTGAATATGAGCGCTCACCATCTTCAAGTCCAACGCCACCATCTTCATCTCCATGTGTGTCACTCGGTCATGCTCGCTTGCAAGCTCCACCTAATCTGGCATTGTCCTCCTCGAGTATACACACCAACCAACTCCTGCTCCTTATCGTAGAGTTTGAATTTGATTAAACTGATGCTAGAAACGAATTCAGCACGTCGAAAAACCCTAGGAACAACTTCTGGATCACCAAAATCCGCCTCTAAATCCTCAATCGGCTAACAAATCAATCTGGACCGTCGGATCCCCACGTGAACAGTTCCCGCCGCGCTACAGTGTTCTGCTACAATACCGCCACTATAGTATTTTTTTCCCTTTTTCTTTTTATCTTGATTCTTGTAACTCCGATTTTTAATCTTGCACGACGTCGTCTTCTATCTTGTGAACTCGTTCCCGGATCCGTCATCTTCGTTCTGATACCACTTGTTAGGGAATTTCAGTCTC